CTCCTATGTGCTGAGTACTGATGCATGCTCAGGCTCTGGGCTTTTTGTGCAAAGGGTTCAATGACTTCTCCAGATGTTCCCGATTACTGGATCAAGATTTTATAAATCATTTTCTAGAGGGTGCCGAGCTGAAAAAATACCTAGAAAAAAATATTTTTGCTATAAAAAAAAAGAAAAAAAAAAGAGTAAATATACATAATATTAAATTAATATTTTTGAATATTTAAAACGTTAAACATACTATTTTTTGTTTCATTTTCATGCTATAATCATCACAAAAAAATACCTTCTACAATAAATTTGACTGACTTTTTTTTTTAACATTCAAACAGTTTTGCAGTTGGAAAACTTTAGACATTTATTTTTTAACTTAAATCTTAAATGATTAAAGTAACATTTTTACAGTTATTTTTGTTATAATTATGAACATTTAACATTCAAACAGTTTTGCTCTTGCAACACTTTTTATATTTAAATCAAATCAAATGTAATGTTTAATTAAATTATTACATTTTAATATTTTGAATGTTAAATGTAATATCTTTGATAAATATTTCCTGTTAAATTATTAATATTTTAACAGATAATAATTTAATATAAAAAAAAATTATCATTTGAATTGTTTAGAATATTGAATGTATTGTTTTACATTTGATGTAAAATATTTTAAATGTTAAATGTATTATTATTAAATGTATTAGCTATCTTATTAATTAATAACTATCAAATTCCCTGACATTTTCTGGTTTTCCCTTACATGCTTAAAACCCTGGGTGTCATATACACACAGAACTTAAATGGAGCAACCCAACAGAGCAACATATAAAACTAATTACATGTGAATGTGCCAGAGGCTGTACACCTAAATGGCTGACATTTTCGCAAACCTCTTTTAAAATGTTATTATTTTACAAGCATACATACTGTCCACACTGCAGCGCTTTGTGTAACACTGGGGTTGTGAAGGGTTAAGAACAGATTTTCGAGCTGGGTGAAGACGACCAGCTGCCACCTGCTCCGCTCTGAGGCTCAGCGCTGGGAACGTCCCTCTGGTATTTCATACATTTGGGCACATTAAGCACGGAGATCGTTCTCTGCTTGGCAGCAAAATGTAGCCATGTGTTGAGGATGTGAGAGAGAACTACAGCGTGACAAAGCTGCATTTTATCACGACTCAGTTGGTGTTCAGCTGCAAGACATTAACCTGCTGTCAGGGGCAGCTTTCCCACCTTTTTGGTATATCTAACTCCATCATCCTCAATATGGCTCCTAATTTTACACGTAATAATAGCAATTTTAAACGTAATAATACACACAATATTAATAAATCTACATTGCAATAATTTATTATACTTAACTACAATACACACTGACCTACTCATTCTATTTGATAATAGATTGTTTTAATTATATTGGATGCTTAAGCAACTACTGCACCACCAGCACAACAGCATCTGGGAGTGACAGCATAAAACGCCTCTAGTGTATTTGGCTGGCATGCTTGTGGTATTCTACAATTTGCTTTGACTTCAATTATACAATTTTATTTGGGAGAAATGCATCTACATGCATTTGTCAACTATGTCAGCACAGGTGGGGTGTTCAGCACATTTGAAATGTATAAAACACTGTGGGACCAATTCACTAAACCGCTGCAGCACTTTTTTGTGCACAGTATTTCAGTTCAAAAACCTTTGTCTTTGTCAACCACCCGCAATCCAGTTTAACCAGGTGCTGCTAACAACGCTTTGCCATTCACATGCAAATTATATAGTTAGTATTTACCTACTTGAATGATTGTATTATAATTTCTCGCTATCACTGAGTCAGCGTTGTTTGTGTATGTTTTTGCATTCGTTTTCTAGTGATCACAGCAGTAGTTATTCACCAAGTCAGGGTTTTTTCAGACGGGGGCTTGCAAATTGTAATGTAACATTAAAATGAACAAATGGGGATGCACAAATAATCTAAATAAAAACGTAGCCACTGATATATCTTATTAAATTGTGATGATCAAATCAAAGGCTGTGATTTAATTGAAGCATATAGACTGCTGTGGAGTTAATTTACACACATACAGATTTGAATAGTTTCACCTGCATTTGGGAGTGCAATGTGCGTAGGTTCACTTTATTTACATTCGAATAATTCCAACATTTCTGTGGACAGAAATTTGAAGTATTTTACCATTATTCTGTTAAAATTGAGGATTTAAAAGTTGGAGGGTGAGTTACTTGTATTATTTTGTAGACAAAATAATCACGGTATATTTTTTGTATAACTAGATAAAAAAGTTTGTCAAGAAAAACGTTGAAGTTGGCTTGAGAAAGCCAGACCAGAAAGTTTTGAAAAGTTTTATAAAGTTTTTAAAAGTTTGACGGTTTTCAGTTTGAAGTTTAAAATAGTTTTAAAGATTAAAGTTTGAATGTTTTGAAGGCAATACAGTCTATTAGACAGACAGACAGACAGACAGATAGATAGATAGATAGATAGATTAACGTCTTGTGAAACTAAAAACTAAAAGAAACAAATCCATAACTAATATGTATTAACGTTAAACGGCTTTTGGCCAAAATAGTTCATAATGCATAATAACGCTTCCTCCAGTGTAAAAGTCCATCCCCTGTTGTCGTCTCACTTCAAAATCTACCAACATATTTGTTTATAACGGTTTTGGACTGTTTTCATTTGTTAAAGGTACTTGATCTGTACAGATTTCTCTCCTGATTCAGATAAGATTACTTTTTCATTGGAGCAACAGTTTGAAGTTAAAAACGTCTTAGGGTGCGTTCACACTTGTAGTTCGGTTCTCTTGGTTCGTTTGGTCCGGAGGCGTGTCCTTACGATTTTATTTTCACCAACTCACAAAGAGCTCATAAAAGGCACTTTACCTCCTCGTTGCTCCACGTTTCCCCTCTGCACATTTTGTTTTGGATACACCACTCGTTCCGCGCCATCAAATCATGTCACATAGTGTCGCATCTCGTCATTACTTCCTGTTTTTGGTTCGTTTAGAAGTATTTGGTCCATGTTGCATTCATATTTCATTCGAACCGCACCAGAGTTCGTTTGGTGCACACCAGGGTTCGCATGGCAGCGTTCACACTTACTCAAACGAACCGCACTAACAGAGCAATCGCACCAGGATTCGTTTTAATCGAACCAAACTCACAAGTGTGAACACACCCTTAATGATGGATTAGATTTTTACAAACGCAACTTTTCTCTTCTCAAGACATTAATTGATGGACTGGAGTCCATTTGTGGATTATTGTGATGTGGTTAGCATGACCGAACCATAATACTGGGAATTGCAAAAGAGTGAAACGGTCAGAAAGAGTGAATACAGTCTTCCCACATACTTCTTGCTGATTGCTTGGTGTGGTAGACCAAATTTAACTCCTTTTTATAGTTCAAAGAAATAAAAAATATGACTAAAATGTCTTGACCAGCCTCTGTGCAAGTAATATGGGTTATCTAGATTTATATATAAATAGCCCATCATTGCTCAGTCAATCCAGCATTTAATATGGTACTTAAATGCTTCAATTGTAAAAGCTCATCAATTTTAGCAGCAGATTTCTTGATTCTGTATATTAATCTGGTTGTACGTAGAGTCTGGCAGGTCAGAACTCAGGTAAACAGTCTAAATCAGAGCGGTGGAGGAGTCCCGAGGCCTGTACTGTCAGATGAGAGCATGAACTGGCACGCAGGAGACGGGAATTTGTACCGTGCCCTTGTGGTGACTGGCACCTTAACAAAAGTGCATTCTAGGGTGCACTGATATCAGTAAATGAATAAAAAAAAAAACAGAAGAGCGAACGCATGTGAATATATGTATTGTAGTCTGATGAAATATGACAGACTGATGTAGACTGTGTTTTAAAAACACCATCGATTGCAACATATCAAACATATCATCTATCAACTGCTGCATCTGCTGATGCAGACCAAAAAAGGCCTGATTCTGCAAAGTGTGGGAACCATTTTCAAGGAACATTTTTCTTTAACTGTGACGTGAGTTTGAAGACTTAAACTAAGAGTCGATAAATCAACTAACCCCTGTTCGCCCTTCATAAACAAGCCATACATCAATTAAACATGCTGATATTAGAAGCTGTTATGGTAATGACTAACAGTCACCATGTTAGTCACAGCGTGGTGGGTAGCAAGTCTGTTTCACATTCAAATCTTTGATGTGCAAAATGCACGGCACTTTTTCAAGCCTGACAATATTTGCCCTGCAGAAGTGCATTCTTGCTTCTGCATGACCTCCTACTTAGTGCAAAGCTTTTCAAGTCAGATGTGAATGGGTCATTAAGCTCTGTCAGTATAAAGGACAGTAGAGACAAGAGTAAGAGTAAGCAAGAACAGCGTACTTTAGCGCCTATCATTAGCCATCAAAGGGGCTGGGCCTGATTTCCATCTCAGTCAAGAGCCCCTGACTTGACTCTGACTCATCTTGGGGAGTCTGTGGTGTCATTAGCATTGAGGAAAGTCACCTTGCATCACTGTTTTCTGCACAGCAGGTGTTCATTATTGCAACTGAAATTGTATGTTAGGCAAGATCGCTGAGAAAACATGCACAAAACAAAAATAAATCACATTTTTATCCTGTGAAAAAAAATCTGCAGTAATCTCACGCGTCTCATCAATATCTCCTATCAGATGAGATTTCAACAAAATACTGACATCTGCAATCAAAAGAAGAGATTTTAAGATAAACTCCCTCTATTTTGTCATTAAATTCCTCTGAGCTGTTATCTTCATGAATTATACAGCTCTATAATCTTGCATGTCAACAGTCTCATTTGTGTCCGATTTTACTTCTAAAGAACTTTAGGAGAAACTTCTGAGAGAAAGCATCTGGGTCTTTTCTAAAGTCTTGATTAAAGTCAGACCAGAGTTTAACTAAACATAACAGGTTACGTTTAATGACAGACAAATGACCATCAAGTTAAGGAAAAAAAGTACTACTATACAAAGAAAGACATGTTTTGTTTTTATCTATCTGTAGCTCTCTCTAAACTCTGGATCCAATTAAACAACAGATTTTAGCTTACAAGGTCTTGCTTGAAAAAAAAGCTGAAGCTAAATGTCATGTGCAACGAATATGGCCTAACTCATGGCAAACATATTGAACTGTAAACAGTTTATCAATGGAACAAACAAAAACTCAGTATGCAAGGTCTCTATAGTGTGTTTTTAGGCGAGTAACCCAACCCAACACACCTAAGTTTCACTCAGACACTTCATGACCTTTGACACCAGCTCCTCTTTCTTATCCTTTGAGCGCACATTGATCCCTCGACTCTTCAACCATGCCTGCAGAGTCCCTGTGTTGACCTTTGAGAGCTGAAAACAGAAAAAAATAAATAAACTCCAAGTTGCGGAGTAACGCATTACTAAATTTTACATGCAGCCTGAAAACTGATTTACATTTAGAACCACAATAAATAAGACAGAATCTGCAGAAATTTCCCCACACTGTTTGTACTGATCTACAGAATGGATTTAAACATGGTACAACTATGCTAAACTGAGCATCAAGTGTTACATTTACTAGTAGCTGAAAGCATAAAATTATACAAAATATTTAATAAATGAAAAGGTAAAGGGCGGAGTTGAGAATAATTTAATAGAAATTTTATGAATTTACCCGTGATACTTTTTTTTAGGATTCTTTGATGAATAGAAAAGCTCAGAGTTCAAAAGAACAGCATTTATTTGAAACTAGGGCTGTCAGTCGATTAAAATGTTTTAATCTAATTAATTACACAATGTGGAGATTAATTAACTGTACATCAAATTTGACTGAGAAATTACCCACAAAAGAGAATTTAAATCCATTATTGAGTTACATGAGAAATGCATGAAATAGATATAAAAAAAAAGTAGCTTTAGAAACTAAAAAGAAAGTAGCTTTGGGGGGGGGCGGGGGTTAAACTATTAATTTAATTAGTTTTTTTTATTAATATGGGTTTTATTTTCAGATTTCTTATTAATATGTAAATATTAAATTATTTTTTTTAATGAAACAATACTCTAAATAAGAAACTAAAACTGCCAGTAGGTGGCAGGGCAGGAAATGTCTTAATGAATAAGTCACTGAGTCATTCATTCATTCAGTTTGTTCAAATGGCTGATTCATTCAGGAATGAAGTAAATAACTCTCTTTATGAATGGGCCATTGAATCACTGGTTCACAAGATTCATTGCACGGAGACGCACAATAGTTCTGCTTTAATAATCGGCTTTAATAGGTAATATTTGCAGTGGCAAAACTGAGCAAAAACAGACAATATTGTGTCTAAAATATAACACAATTTTAAGTTCTTATTTATTGAACTGTAGTTTAAAATCAATATGACATTTGCACTCATGCTATTTGGGACAAAAACAGCACTGGTGTGATATTGACCTCGTTGCTCGTGTGATATTGCTTAATTATAACTATATCATATGATTTAAATATGAGACCAAATCTCATACTGGGGCATTTTTCCCCAATCTCTTGAATTTGTGTGAATTTGAGAGGAGGCTCCATCATGCAGTGAGTTGTTGCTTTGCATCATGTTTGTCATCAATCAACTGTATAGGTGTATTCGGCTTGAAGCAGCGTTGCGCAGACCAATCGGTGTATGAGGAAGAAATGTTTCTATAGCATGTTATATAGCAGACGGATCCATATGCTTTCAAATCGCTCTCGTGGTACATTGATGTCAAACACTGATCGATCTGCACAGCGCCACTTCAAGTCGAGCACAATGTAAGATGACGTACGTGGGGCGGGTGCATTAATTACATTAAGAATTTAAATGTGTTATTTTTTTCCACAACTAATTAACTAGTTTAACGTGTTAAATCAACAGGCCTATTTGAAACCGAAATTTTGCAACATTACAAATGCCTTTACTGTCACGTTCAATCAATGTAATGCATCGTTTCTGAATAAAAGTATTAATTTCTTTCAAGGCTCTTCCAAATTTTTGAACGGTAGTGCATCTTGATGCAAAACTCTGCTAAGAGCTGAACACTTGTTATTGTTCCTACAGTTCAAGGTCACCAATCAAGACATAAAATGAACCAGCCATGGGTATGTTATGGGTTTTTATATGGCTGCACCTGTTAGTAGCCTCCATCATAAAGAAAAAATAGGAGCTCATCTTCTCTCTTAATGACATCCAATCAAAACCATGAACACATGCCAGGCTTATAATGTTTTCATTTAGACTAAGTGTGCCAATGAGCAGTCACACTGCTGGGCTCTGGACTATCGCAGACTGTTCTGCCCTGCAAAAGTGAAACACGGCAACGACGCCAACGCTCAAACTACAGCTCTGAAGTTTTTGACTAAAGATAATGAGATGCCCTTATGAAGACTATTTCTGTGGTAAATTTTCTACATGTGCAATGTAAAAAAACAAAACAGAACAGACTATTAGATATGCCAAAATACCTGATTGCTTGTCGCATACACTTCCACGTGCTGCACACTCTGTTTGAGCTTCTTTGGTTTTGACTCAAACGTGTCTCCCTGAAAGATGTCGAGACAGGATCCATTAGAAGCACTCACTACACTAGATTTAATCATTCATGTAGGTTCATAAATTATTTTCAGGAAACTGCACCATTTAATTTGCCTAGTCTTGCTAAATCTGTGCCTCGTGCCAAGTGTGTAAGATGTCCCATGAGAAATACAGCAATTTGCAAGCTAAATTTTTACATGAGAAAATGTAAGCCGTGCTTGCCTGTGCAAAACTTACCATGCATTTGCTAAGGAGTTCTGTTTTTGTAAGTTTAACTGCTTAGAAATTAGGGCCCTGTGATTTCCGCAATGCAGAAAACGCGGACAGAATCACAGAATCCGGTCATAAAAAACGAATTTACTGTATAACGTCAAAGTGTCTGTGAATATTAAAATCACAAAAAGAATATTTAAATATGAAGTCTGCATGTTCTGCATGTGTCTGTGTGAATAAGCACTGCAGTTTAGTCTGCTACACACATAAGCAAGCATGCGTGAGACCAGAGGTGTTTTCAGCATCTGCCGTCTCATTATATGAAGACATGAGATGCTCTGATAGTCTCCAGAGATGCTCTGATAGTCACTTCATGAGCATTTTACGATTTCATTTGAGAACATCTATTGCCATACATCATACACAGAAACCTCACAACAAAATGTTTGGTTTAAATTGAAGAAATTGTGAGAGAATACAGTGGAATACATTCAGTAGAATGTACTACTCAAAGTAGAAGTATAGTAATAATAATAATAATAATAATTTTGTATTCATTTTTTAAGGAATAACCACACTTTTTCCTCCATGTTTTAATTTTAACTGCAAACCTCAGTTGTGCAGCACTTTGATTGCTAAAAAGTAAAAACAATTGCATAATTTTTATTTTATTAACAATTTAGGGCCAGATATACTAAACAAGGCAAACTACTGCAAGAGCGCAATTCCATAAAATCACTGATGGGAGTGGAAAGTTCTGCGGGTGATATACTGACTGCGCAAATTAAAGAATGCAGATGCAACATCTCATTTCCATAATGACCAACGCAATCTACTGTACCAAGAGCAGTGCAAATTAGCATAAGGATATGTTCGGATAATGTCTTCCTCTGGCATTCCAAATAAATGAATGAGTGGAAAACATTTTCTCCCTTCTACCACACACACTCTGTTCTCTGTGGTGCCTCCTCCTGACAGCAACAATTTCGTCCATGTTAAGCGCAAAATTAGTTAATATATGCTTTTTTTGGGTGATAAATAATGGCACAAATACCAGTAAATCGACTACCGCAAACCTTAGTAAATCATGTTGTGTGACTTATTTAAATACTCTCCTCCCTTAAATTTTGCATCTGAAATGGACACTCCTACAAATGCATATACAATAAGGTCAGCCGCAAAAATTACTGTCCATGACTTTTCATTGCTAATTTCTCACTGCGTGTCTTTAGTAAATCCTGACAGTCGTTTTTAAAACGACAAAATAGGGATTGCGCTGGCACAAACTGTTAGTAAATCTGGCCCTTAATCTTTTAAAATTTAATGTTTTATGCCTTCGTTTGATTACCACCATTTCTGATAGTAAATTGATTATAAAAAATCTGATAATAAAACATCCAGAAAAATTAAAACACACAACGAATTTAAAATAAAATATTTCATAGGGCCCATTTTACTAATAAATAAATAAATACAGTTCTGAAGTTTCAATTAATTAGACATGCTTTTTGATTATTAACATTTAATTAAACCATTAAAACAGAAGACAGAGAATTTGGGAAAATATAATGGAATTTGAGAAAAGATAAAACATGCTTTATTGGGCCCTAAAAATGTAATTTTTGTTAAACTTTTAATAAACTAAATGGTATACGTTTAATAATTTCTTGGACATTGGCTTTTTAATTTACTAACATTTTATTTAACCAATAAATACAGTCAAATAAAATATAATGGAATTGGGGAAAAAATCAAATGGATTTCATAGGGCTCTAAGAAATCCAACAGGTTTTTGGTAAAGGACAGATTGCTGTTTGTTTGCATGGCTTACTTACTCTATTGCTGGGGATCTCAGGCATGATTTGGGGCTGCATCTGTACTAAAGGCAGAGGAGGGAGAATCCCAGTGACTCCACTGTTGGTCTTTTCCTTACTCTTAGAAAAGGGTAAAGTCATCCGCTCCGGGGCTGGAGGCCTGGAGAACTGGTTAGAAGAAGCTGGTGGTGTGGAGCAGTGGGGTTTGGAAGACGATGACAGACAAGTAGATGACAGAGGCCTTCTAACTGCTGTCAGCTTCTGCTCTTCCGGCCCCTGCTGCTGTTTCACTGCAAGCATCTCAGTCACGTTCACATGGCGGGTGTGTGATTTGTTTTTGAAGATTGGCACAAGCTTTGGTCTTGGAAGTGCAGACTGTGACTGGATGCGAGTAAAATGAACATTAGTGGGAGAGGAAGAGGACTGAGTTGCCAAGTTGGAGGACGTCCAGCCTTTCTGGTCAACAGACGAATCCAAACTGGATCTCTTTTTCTTTTCAGTCTGTTTTCCAGTTGAGTCACACTGACTGGAGCGGTGTTGCACTGCTTCGCGTGGGCAGCTGCTGGGAAGCTGGTTCAGTACAGCTCTGCTGCTGTTTTCTGTTGTCACATTTACAGGCAGGGGCCCAAAGCACTAGAAATGTAAGGAAAGAGGAGTTTGTGAATAGGGAAATATTTCATGTGTAAGTGCGCACATATGGTTGATTCTGTGGTGATACAAACCACCAATTGAAAAAAAAAAAACTTTTATAGGGTTCACTGAAGTTAATTTTACCATTATACTTTCATGAAATTTCAGATTTCTTAAATTATCATTATCACTACTCTAAAAAGATATCGATCAATACATAAAACTCTATTGGGTAACACTACAGACACGATATCTTGAGCCAAAATTGACATGAAATATATAATATGTGGTATAATTTATAAATATTTCACATAATTTTAACTATAAAATAATACATTTATTTTATGTAATAAATCAACTGTAAAATTGTGGCCGTGTACAATATTTTTTTAATTATTATTAATTTAAATTATTATTATAGGATTATTTTTTAAATAATATGTTTCCCTTTCACTAAAATAAATAATCTACTACAACTACTCCATTTATATTTAAATCATTTTACATTTACATTTAGTCATTTAGCAGACGCTTTTATCCAAAGCGACTTACAAACTAACAACTAACAACCAACAAAACAAGTAGATAGAATAGAAAAAATAGAAAGTTAGTGTTTTTTTTTAATAAACAAAGAAGATAAATAGATAAAGTAGAATTAAAATAGAATAGAAAGTGCTAGTTAGAGGGTCACATAAAGATGGAAGATGTGTTTTTAGTCGTTTCTTGAAGACGGCTAAGGACTATTAGAAATAAAAAAAATATTGACATATTTTCAATATTTAATTTTATTACTAAAATATAGAATTGCACCAACATGCATTGCAACACTTAAATGACCCAAAAACATCCTGTTATATTATGGCAGACTGACTCTTACCTCCACATCTGTGAGCTTTCTCAGAGACATGGAAAAATCACTTCTCGATAACGAAATCTGTAAGGTTCCTCTTAGTTAAACAATTATTTGTGCTGAACATGTATGTTGATAACGATGCTGGCACTAGTATGCTTTTGTACATCCAACATAAATTAACCAGTCAGTTAATCATTGCTGCCTAATGTTGCCATTATCAATCATTATGAGATTAATGAAAGCGTCCTCTGCGCCAGCTTTCCATCTGTCCAACAAACGGCACATATAGTGTTTCAAATCACGTTTCACAGCATTTGTCAAAGTTTAATAACATCAACCCTCAGCTCTGGCCAGTATAAATTAAACCTTAAACCATCTGGCTGACTTTTAGACTCTCCTCCATCTGCCAACAACAACTAACAGGAAGAAATGATCTAATGTAGTATCAGGTATTGGAAACTCTTACTTGTATTCTTTGTAATAAATGTTAAGCGTCAATTATCCAGCAAACTCAAGGATTGTTTTAGCAGGCAGACCAACGCACACCACTTTGCTCACTGTCCATATAAACACTTCCCATATGTGTGTGATGTAATTCCCTCCACTTTCACTGTGAGTTTAGGCAAGTTATTATATTTTGAGAAAGTTTAAGATTTTGTAATTCATCTACTAAACAAGGGGTCTTTATTCTTGAACGTTTGCAGTTTTATGAAATGTCACTTTTTAAATATTATCTTTAAGAAAAAGAAAACAATGATATTATAGCTAAAGCTGACGATGTGTCCTCAAAAAGCAGATCAAATAACTTGCGTGCCAAAGGCCAATAGATGAGTTTTTGATCTGTTTATTTGCATATAAATTTTATCTTTTGCATTTTTTATAGACAATGAGAGTAAAGGAAACTATGAAGAGGGGGACTGTGATGAGGAAATGACATAAGCCTGATCTGGGTCACTGATACACCACTGTGCATCCCCTCAAGGCCACGACTTTGACTAAATCTTGCTGTTTGCTATTGAAGTGGATGCTTCTGGTTTTGTTGGAAGCTGTATTCATTAATAAGCATTGCATGTGCAGTGAAGTGTTTTGAGATGCTGTCTCTTTTGATCACTTATGTGGGCAGTTGATGTATTACGTGTCCAAGGACTTCACTCATCACCAACATTTTAGATTTATATGGGAGTAAAAGGGAACATGCTTGTCATCTGTCTGTAACAGGCCAAGATATATTAAATCATTATTATTATTATTTTTTGTCTCAAAGTAGTAATCTACTGCAGGTCCATTAAAATTTTAATACATTTAAATAATTCATTTTTATTTATAAAATATGGAATTGCTCCAACATAGATTGTAAAAGGGAATATACATTCATCTGTCTGTAACTGATCACCATTTCTTTTAATTTATTCACCGTATTTAATCTTTTTTTACTTTACTAAATTCTGTGTACCGTTTACTTTACTAAATAAATGTGGTGTGACAAATAAATTAAATCAGGCCATCAAAGCTGCATGCATAATAGTTAAGAAAGTTTGCTGTACAAAATTATTAGAATATTTAAATCTATGTAATAAATTAACTCAAGAAATGTGGCTGTGAACAAGTTTTTAAATGAACAAGGCTTTATCATATTATTTTTAAAATCAAAAAAAGAAAGAAAGAAAAAAAAAAGGATTTCTACATGCATAATCCACAACATGAATGTAAAATCTGGATAACACATGCATCTCAATGGCTTTGGAACATCCATAAAGCAACACATCCAGCTGCATCTGTGCCACTGATGAGCATAGCCATAACAAACTGGGCAATGTCAGAAGTAATACTAAGCAGCAGAGCGCAGTACTTGATGTCAAATTCAATTGATTGCTACTTTATTGCTATAAGCAGGAGAGTAAGCTAAGTGACGGCATGTTTGTGTTTATAGACGCGCACGTGTGTGTGTGCAGTACCTGAGTGTCTGGTCTGTTCAGTTCACTGGTGTAGTAGCAAGGCTTGCAGGTCATCCGCACTGGCAAACCACACACACTCTCAAGTCTGGCCTGCAGATCTGATTTGAAGGTTCCCAGCACCCCCTGCAGGTCCACTCTGGGAAAGCACTGTACCGGCTGAGTGCGGATACAGCACAATGGATATCTGAGCAGGAAGTTAAGGATATTTATCTCTGACTGCCAACATAGAAAAAACAAAGAACAATGCGGTTATAAATAAATAAGATCCAAACGCAGCATGATAAAAAAAAATGTATGGTGTGTTTATAATCTTTAATTTGTCCTTGCAATGTGTGATGTAATTGCAGTTCTGATTCATTATGTGCAGAGATCTAGCACATAATGTGAAAATAGGAGTTATGTAATATTAATAATGAGAAACATGTTTGGGAATAGGGTGAATTCCCAGAGTTCTGGGGCTCATTGCACTGGGATGAAACATATATAAAGTCTCCTACTTTGTCTATTTCTTCAGTATAGAGCATGTACTGTATATTGTGTATAGTACTGTAAGCAGATTTTCTTTATGTACACTACATAAAAAAAACTATTTCTAAGTTTCTAAGTATTTCTAAAACTATTTCTAACTATCAGCAAAGATGAATTAAATTGATGAAAAGTGACAGTATTTCTAATAAATGCTTTTCTTTTTTCACGGTTTCCATAAAAATATGAAGCAGCGAAAGCAGTTTCTTGAGCAGCAAATCAGCATATTAGAATGATTTCTGAAAGATCGTGTGACACTGAAGACTGGAGTAATGATGCTGACAATTCAGCTTTGCATCACAGGAACAAATGACATTTTACAATATATTCACATAGAAAACAGTTATTTTAAATTGGAATAATATTTCACAATATTTCTGTTTTTACTGCATTTTTTATCAAATAAATGCAGCTTTTTAAAACACTTGACATTGACATATGAACATATTGACAACACTTGACATATGAAGCAACCAGAAGAAATCATTTTTAACATCCCATTCTTGATCCGTCATTTGATTGTACAGGCATCAGGATTTCCCCAAAATTGGATTAAATATTTAATATAAGATAATTGTACATTACCAATGAAATTAATGCAATGTAATAAGGTCCCGTGGCAACAATGTGTCATACTAATGTTTGAAATGTTGCATCATGCAAACTGTTTCACATGATGGCATTGTTCAGTGTATACAGCACAGTATGTGATGTCTGATCACAGCTAAATTCTCAAGAGTTCAAGCCGTCTCAACTACTATACCTATCTGGCTCATGTCCACTAGGTGTCATTATCATGTTGCATGAATGTCAATCAAGACAGACTTCTGTACTACTTTTCACATTCAATTTGTAATCCAGCAGTACAATTTATGTCTGAAAAACAATTTATGTTACAAGCAACAATGCCTTCAGATTGATGATAAAAAATAATAAGCACAAGCATAAAAATATTATAAATTGGTGCTTTTGAGAAGTTAATGCCATTTTATTGAGAGCAAATTTTGTGCTAAACATAGCTGAAATCAATATATTATTAACAGGAAACTGACCATAAACTATAAACTCAGCAGGATCAATGCACGCAAAGCTCCGGGTCCTGACAACATTCCTGGGCGTGTACTGAGAGACTGTGCAGTGGAACTCACTGATGTCTTCACAGACATTTTCAACATCTCGCTAAGCCAGGCTGTTGTCCCCACATGCTTCAAAGCCACCACCATCATTCCAGTCCCAAAGAAGTCGTCTCCATCCTGCTTCAATGACTACCGTCCAGTTGCACTTACCCCCATCCTCATGAAGTGCTTTGAACGGCTAGTCATGCACCATATCGGAAGAATTGACAATAAAGCAGACTTGACTTGACTTGACTTGACTAAACATTTCTAAAGGATACGTGAACAGCTTGTCACCTATTGGTTTAAAGTACACACTGCAGTAGATGACTTCCTCTTCACTTACTGAGGGCAGCTGATATCCATACTAAACCAAGAGAGAGAGACCGTTAAAGAGACAGACAGAAGAGCAAGACAGACAGTTCCAGAGAGGCAGGAACATTAATACAGTTTAGTGACGTTCCCCCGGTTTCACAGACAAGGCTTAAGCCTTGTCCCAGACTAAAATGTAAGTCTGAGCTTTTTCAACTGAAAGAAACTTGCAGATTGATCTTAAAATATGTCAGTGCCCTTGCTTTGTCTCAAGATGCACACCAGTACTGTTTTTTTCTAAGGCATGTTTATAAAAATTACTTAAATGTCCTAATTGATCTGTGGCCTAACTCTGTCTTAGTCTAAGCCCTGTCTGTGAAACCAGGCCATTAAGTTTTTTTTAATGGGCAGTTTGTCTGTGTTAGTGTGTATTTGTAAGCAAGCAAGCACTTTCAAACAAAATATTTGGATGTGATTTAGGTTTGAGCAGATGGTGAATATACAATATAAATGGGCAATCGTGCATGTCTGCACATACATACAAATTCTGTTTGATAAAGCCAAGCCCCATGACTGAGTCTGTTTGTGATCAAAGGTTACATTGTGACCTCTAAACCAAACAGAAGAGGATCTGAGTGCTGAACGAACGAACACACACACACACACACACACACACACGCACAAAAATTAACAGACTGGCAAGAGAGAGTAACACTTCCAGAGTCCTGTGAATAAATCAAAAATCCTGAAACCCTCTAATGATCTGTAAATTGTTTGCTCTAATTTAATAATGCAGTGAAAAACTGTTCTGAATTTGTTGGAGATTAATTCTGATGAATTTGGTGGTTAGCCAGTTAATGTCACTCAACACCACCATTACACAATTATTAGTGCTGATTGCTAAGGCAAGCATTGCGATTGCTATTGCTTATAAAATTTTCAAGGAATAGTTCACCCAAAGATGAAAATTTGCTGAAAATGTACTAACCCTCAGGCCATCCAAGATATAGATGAGTTTGTTTCTTCATAAGGTTTGTAGAAATTTAGCTTCACATCACTTGCTCCTCAGTGGATGCTCTGCAGTGAATGGGTGCCGTCAGAATGAGAGTCCAAACAGCTGATAAAAACATCACAGTAATCCACTCTGATGAATTTGGTGGTTAGCCAGTTAATGTCACTCAACACCACCATTACACAATTATTAGTGCTGATTGCTAAGGCAAGCATTGCGATTGCTATTGCTTATAAAATTTTCAAGGAATAGTTCACCCAAAGATGAAAATTTGCTGAAAATGTACTAACCCTCAGGCCATCCAAGATGTAGATGAGTTTGTTTCTTCATAAGGTTTGTAGAAATTTAGCTTCACATCACTTGCTCCTCAGTGGATGCTCTGCAGTGAATGGGTGCCGTCAGAATGAGAGTCCAAACAGCTGATAAAAATATCACAAGTAATCCACACCAGTCCAATGAAAAGCCGTGTGTTTTTAACATCAAACCGTTGATTCTGGCCAAAATACTAGTCATCTATCCATAATATTGCTTCTCCAGAGAAAAAGTCTTCCTGTCTGAATCAGGAGAGAAATATGCACAAATCAAGCACTGTTTACAAGCAAACAGTTCTAAACAAATATGTTGATGTGAGCGGACAACATGGGATGGACTTTTTCACTGAAGGAAGTGTATTTGGTTTAAAGTTAAAACATTTAATAGGAAACACCTTGATGGATTTATGGCAAACATGCATCTTTTCACTTCACAAGTCATTAACTGATGGACTGGATTGGTGTGGATTATTGTGATGTTTTTATCAGCTGTTTGGACTCTTATTCTGACGGCACCCAGAGAAATATGCACAAATCAAGCACTGTTTACAAGCAAACAGTTCTAAACAAATATGTTGATGTGAGCGGACAACATGGGATGGACTTTTTCACTGAAGGAAGTGTATTTGGTTTAAAGTTAAAACATTTAATAGGAAACACCTTGATGGATTTATGGCAAACATGCATCTTTTCACTTCACAAGTCATTAACTGATGGACTGGATTGGTGTGGATTATTGTGATGTTTTTATCAGCTGTTTGGACTCTCATTCTGACGGCACCCATTCACTGCAGAGGATCCACTGGTGAGCAAGTGATGTAATGCTATATTTAATCTGTTCTGATGAAGAAACAAACTCATCTACATCTTGGAAGGCCTGAGGGTGAGTAAATCTTGAGCAAATGTTCATTTCTGGGTGAACTATTCCTTTAAAATGTGGCACAAAGTCTGAACACCACTTGTGCTATAGGCATGAAACAAATCATGAGGCTTATTGAGGAGAGCTGTGCGCTATTATTTTCTTCAGGTGGTAGTGTTTACCATGTTGCTCCAGTGCTTTTGAAACTCCATATAAGATTGGAACGGGCTTTCCTGTGGAATCCTGCGACTGATGCTAATGATTTGGCCTTTCTTCATACTGCTCTCACACACACAAACAAAAACAATGCAGGAGAAGTAATTCAATGTGTCTAAATTGAACACTGTCAACAAAGGAGATTACAAATAGGACCTTTTCCCTCCATGATGCCCATCAGTACATCAGAGCAACAGTACAGCTCTAGGAAGTGTAAGAACAAAGTATAAAGCAGTCTGATTGCACATGCATACAAACACACACCTTGGCAGAATGTGGCACCAGTTATTTGGCATCACTGTATGCAACACAGCATCATCAGTGCAGAGGAAGTTTTTCACCACAGGAGCAGGAATATCAAAATCCTTTATCTGGCAGAAGACAGCCAAGCATGAATTAATACCTCACACTGAAACAGGAACAAGAAATATTGCAATCCAATACAAACTTTGACTACTTCATGTCTTACTGTGAATAACTGGTCTCATTTTGTCAATTATTATTTAAAAAATGTGTTAACAGGCAGCTATTTGTTAAAATAAAATAAAAAAAATGTTTTATGCAAATATATGTTCTATGTATCATAGTTGTATATGTAGATAGTAGAAATGTATTATTATATATTTAAAAATAAATATATTCGTAATTAATATACTGACATATACATATAATTACTGAATTATATGATTTATATTTGATATGATTTATTTAGATTTTTATATGCAAATAGTTTAAATTAATATTTAACTTACATTATAGATGTATTACGTGTATTTTAGTATATTCATTACATTTGTGTATAAATCATAAATCAATTATGAATAATGACTACTCAAAATGATTTTATGCACATATTTATATATGCATACTATTTTAATAATTTTTATTATTAATTTGTTATTATTTCATTTTAATAATTTGTTAGATACTAAATAATTTACATTAATTTTTAAATAATCTTAGTTGTTGTTATGAATATAAATAACAAGCACACCACTTGGGCACAACTAGTCATTTAAAGTAACAAACAATGAAGAGAAAAGCTTTTTCTTCCCCTGTTTATTCAGCACAATCAGGTTGACGTAAGGTAGATAACTGACTAAGGCAAAGGGCTTGAACTGAGGCAAATGTGTAATGCATGACAACAGCAGTAAACTGGTTCATAGGTCATAAGAGGCTAGAACGGAGATTGTGAACGCAGGCTGGAGGTGTTTGAATTCTTACCACAGCTGGAGGAAGTCTGACTGTGTTGGCTTCCACACTGACACACAGTTGAGTCTCAGTGATACTCAGCTCAAGCACTGTGAATGAATATACAAGAGTACAGACGTGAGCACGAGTCAGTGAGAATGAGAAAACATCTGTCTGTGTCATCATCAGTTACTGAGTGAACTCTGAAAGGAATCTAGGCTTTAGGGTGGAGCGTAGCATGATAAACTGTGGCTTAAAATGTGACTCTGAAAGCATAAATGATTCTGGGATAAAACAAAATGAGTACATTATTCAGAAATGTGCTAACAGTGAGCAAAACAGAACAAAAAGACGTTGTTTTAACTAGTAGGAGTACATTTAAATGTTTTTCTATACATTTAAGTACTCAACCACATTAGTCACTCCTTGCCTGCGATCAGGAGAAATCACAGTCTAACAATGTGAACACAAACGGCAGCGTCTCGTGCCAAAGTATACAGACGCCTCCCACCTACCAACTGCATTGAGTTTTCCAGAGTCACTGAGGAAATCTTTTCCTGGGAAAGAAGGAAAAATCACTGTTACTCTAAGATGATGAAACAAACTGCATTGAGATTTCTGTGTAATTCATTAAAAGCTATGTGATGGGGGAGTGTTGTGATCTGGTAAGATCATTAAGAAGAATTTGTGATGACGTGATACCCTCACATATTCACTAGGAGCAGGGCCGCATTAACCATTGGGCTAGGCGGGGCTGAAGCCCCGGGGCCCGGACAAGGAACGCGTGGCGCGCATCTGCTCGTACGAGAAGGGTCTGGCTGCAGCTGGCGCTTGCACTCTCAGATACTTGCACTCTCAGATACTTGCACTTCCGCTAGCGATGTCACTTGCAGTCTTTTTTATTTTTTATAAAGAACAATCTTCTATAAGTAAAAATGTAAACTATTCTAAAAAGAAAGTGAGAGAGGGGCTATTCTAAAAAAATGAGGAGAGAGGGGAAAACATGAGTTAGAGAGTCAGTAAAATTCCCAGCTATCAGGTTATTTTACTAAAGCTGATGATGGAGTGGAAGTTGTTGGAACAGCAAGTGAACCGGGCACATGGAGCAGATAAAATCACAGCGTCATCGTCCCCACAGATTTTAGGTTAGTTTGATTAACAAGTTAACAACTTGATGGATGTATATTGCTTTTTGTGTTTGAACAAAGTATATTCGCTTATGGGTTGAGAGATAAACCATATAGCCTATCAATCGTTTTGCATGGCATGATGTAGGCATTTTAAGCATTGTGGTTTAAAAACAAAATTAACTTTTCAGGGACATTAAGCAGTGGGGCAGAATTCATTTTGGCAAATGCGCGCTTTGTCCATTAAGCTACATTACGTGGTTTATTTATAATGATTTTCTATGGAAGGAACGTGCAATTTAACGCATTGCGTTCTGGGCTCGTCTGCTTGCCTGTACGGAGTTGATCCTTTTGATCCTTCATATGCATTTCAAAATGCGCGTTCATATTTACTGTTCTGTATATACTTTGAGTCAACAACAAGACATATAGGCTACTGAGTTGTCTTTATCATCCGTTATTATGCCACATTAAGCGTTTTGCTGTATGGGAGGACAAGTGAAAGTTCACCTGGCTATACTGTTGTAAAATGTTGAGAGATTCAAACAAAAAGTAATCAATAAATAGAACAAAATAAAAAATAAAGCCTGCAAGTGACGTCACTAGAGGAAGCGCAAGTGTCTGAGAATGCACGTCTGAGAATGCAAGTGCGAGGCTGCAGCCAGACCCTTCTCATTTTGACACATAACTATGTGTATTCGAACTTTTAAACACAAGGCGTGAAAAATAACTCCAGTCAGGCGCTGTACGAGCAAGTGCGCTCGTGTGTATCAGAAACCGTCTTAACGCGCGCATTTGCCAAAATGAATTCTGCCCCACTGCTTAATGTCCCTGAACAGTTAAATT